ATCCTTCCACCTTGGCCTTCCAAGTAGCTGGAACTATAGGCATGCGCTACCATGCCTGGCTTATTTTTTGATTTATTGTAGAGACGAGGTCTTGCCAAGTTGCCCGGGCTGGTTTTGAACCCCTGAGCTTAGGCAATCCTCTCAACCTTGGCCTCCCAAAGTGTTGGGATTACAGGCTTGAGCCACCACACCTGGCCAAGGAAATTATATTTTTAAATGACCCTCACTGAACCCTTATCAACCTATACTTTAATTTCAAACTGTTCATCTTTAACCCTCCAAAATGATCTTTTTCCAAAAGTCCATTACAGAAAACTGTTGTTTTACTCTCTTTAGAAGCTGAATACATTTTTCCCGACAGAATTGATGTTAAAAATGTGCTCAGGACAGTGCTGAACTGATGGATGTCTGTATCTCTTTTTCCAACAACAGTGGCTTGCAAACTGTAAGGCGACGTTTGCAGGAGGCTCAAGAGATGGAGTAATCACCTGTCAGCCAGGGGACTCGGAAGAAAAGGTAATAAAAGCCTGTTAGAATGTATCTATCTCTTCTGTGCTCTGCATCATGTGTTTGTTTTGATCCACCCAAGAAGGTGAAACTTAAAGGAAAAAACGGAATGAGTCATTTCTATACATTTACATGAAACCACCAAAGAAAGACAGAATGACATTCAAGCCATGCATGACTGTGTTGATGGGGTTATGGGGGAGGGGTGTCTTCTTTCTTTAGAAAAGGAGAGATAAAAATAACCTTTTTGCTGGACACTGTCTAACTATACTAACCATTTCCTAATAAATCTATTCTTAATTCAGAATATCAAACCAAATTTCATTAACGCTTCGCTGAATCACTTAGTTCCTTCAGTGAAGGAATTTTCTTTTGACCGTTCACAATCATCCTAAAACAGATTTAGAATTGCTTTAAGTACACACCTCAGACCAGTAGGCCGTGCTGTCATGGAAACTGAGCAGAAGAGCGTGCATGGATGAAAAGCATTCCTTCCACAGTTAGGTACTGAGTGCCTATGCTAGGGCTCCCCAGAGGACACCGTAGTGAGCAACAGACAAGGCCTTTGTCCCATAGAGTTTCTGACCTCGTCAGGGAGACAGACATTAATCAAAAAGTCATACAGTCATAAACTGTGACAGGGGCCTTGCCCCTTAGGCTCCTCGGTCTGTTTTTGTAAGTTTAGAGTTGCTGGTCCCCTATACACTGACTACGTGAGTAACAAAGCATTGTATAGAACTCAAGTCACAGCCGCATTTTGTCAATAGTACCATTTATGGCCTGCATTTCCTGGAGCTGGCTACCAAAAGGTAGCTTGGTATTATCACTAATACCAAACTAAAGAGGTGGATAAGCTTGCCATAGAGTAAGGGAGTTACCAGAGCCTTTTTACAAAGTAAAACATTATTCACTGCATCATTTTGATTAGTAGTTATAATACACAAAAAAGTCATATAAATTACAAGGCTTACGGTTACATGGGTGCTATATTTTCAAATCTATGACCACTGATAAAAGGGAGTGAATAGGGATTCATTTCTCTAAGTTGAGTAGGCTCAGTCTGCAGGGGGTTAAGGGTTCTTTGAAATGACTTAATGGGGAATGCATAGGAGATAAGGCCATACACTTTCTTTTGCTCATTCTCAGGAATGTAGGTGTGTGTGGGCCTATTGAACATTATGACTTATTTTAAGAGTTCTGTAGCCAGGCGTGGTGGCTCACACCTATCATCCCAGCACTTTGGGAGGCTGAGGTGAGAGAGGATTACCTGAGCCCACGGGTTCAAGACCAGCCTGGGAAACTTGGCGAGACCTCGTCTCTACCATAAATGAAAAAATTAGCTGGATGTGGTGGTGTGTGCCTGTGGTTCCAGCTATTTGGAAGGCTGAGGCGGAAGGATTGTCTGAGCCCAGCAAGTTGAGGATGCAGTGGCTGTGAGCATGCCACTGCACTCCATCCTAGGTGACAGAGTGAGAATCCAACTCAAAAAAACAAAAAAAGAGTTGTGGCATACGAACAGACAATAGTGAGTTTCCATATCACTGGTTGTAACTCTTCACTGCCAGCATAGAGTCACTTGGTGAGCCCTTTGATAAGTTTTCATGAAGAGACCAGGGATAGTGCACTAAGTAAACCACAAGGCTGAGAAACCTCTAGAGGGGGTGTTGAAGTGTGGTTTGTAGCTCCACATCACTGCCCTTCTTGAAGACACACGTTTTCATTTCACTTTGTGGTTTGCAGGGAACTTTCACGTATCGCAAGTCATTTGATCTCTCTGGATGAGAAGCAGGGCAGGTAACAATGGCCCATCCTATAGTTGAAGAAACAAAAGCTTGACTTCTCCAAGGCTCCATGGCTGATAAGTGGCAGACAGAACTAAAGCTTGGCCACAAAGTCTGGAAACGTGGGCAAATATGCACAATAAATAGTTTTCCTATATTATATTTTAATAATAGATGTTTAATGACTTACATGATATGTCCCTCATAAGGAATGCATAGTTGAATGTGCAGCTCAAAATCACAATGAGGCCAGGTGCAGTGGCTCACACCTGTAATCCCAGCACTTTGGGAGGTCATGGCAGGACGATTACTTGAGCCCAGGAGTTCAAGACCAGCCTAGGCAACATAGCAAAATCTCATCTCTACAAAAAAAACCTAAAAAATTAGCCAGGCGTGGTGGCGTGCACCTGTAGTCCCTGCTACTTGGGAGGCTGAAGTAGGAGGACTGCTTGAGCCCAGGAGATGGAGGCTGCAGTAAGCCATGATCATGCCATTGCATTCTAGCCTAGGTGACAGAATGAGACCTCAACTAAAAAAAAAAAAAAAAACAAAGAACTCCAGCATGTCCCTCAGTCCCCATAATGAGACTCTGTGGCCGGGAGCAGTGGTTTACGCCTATAATCCCAGCACTTTGGAAGGCTGAGGTGAGAGGATTGTCTGAACCCATGGGTTTGAGACCAGCCTTGGCAACTTGGCAAGACCTCATCTCTACAATAAATCAAAAACTTAGCCAAGCATGGTAGCGCGTGCCTGTAGTTATAGCTACTTGGAAGGCTGAAGAATCGCCTGAGCCCAGCAGGTGGAGGCTGCAGTGTCCGTGAGCATGCCACTGCATTCCAGCCTGGGCAACAGAGTGAGACTCCAACTCAAAAAAAAAAAATCGAGAATCTATGATGTCCCATCTCAGATGATCTGTGACTCTGATTTTCACTGAACTGCCTGTGCCAGTAGCATACCCCAGAAGAAGGAATATATCCTTAAAAAATCATAGATTACCCAGGTTTCAGATTTTACGGCCACTAAGTAGCTAGCACTCATGGCTTGTGATTCCAACTCAGTCCTTCCTCTGCTATACTCTCCTATTAAGAAAAATTCAGTCCAGAAAACAGCAACCAAGTTAGGATTTACAATCGGCATAAATCTAGTCCAGCTCATATTATAGTTTGTATAGTATAGTAGTAAATAAAAAATAACTAGTTATCCAAACATTTACCCTCAATCATCAAATTCTACTATATTCTCGATAATAGAATCTCAATCAGGAAAGTACATTAATACATTGCAGAGCTTTAGAAACAAAGGTTGAAACCAAGTCTATTATGTATTTGTTTATAGCTTCTGGCTAGCCTTAAGGAGAACTAGAAATCCCAGTTAATTTATTCATTACTTATTTATTAAGTTCCAGTTAAATTACTCTCTTTCTCAAATAAAATTTTTGTTTTATTGTGCTTCTAGTTTATTTCTATTAAGTTGTTTTACTCAATTTAGTTACCCACTCCCCCCCGCTTTTTGCCCTGGTTCTTTATCTTCCTCAAACAAATATTTCTTTTTTTCCTATTCTTTTTTTTGAGTTGGAGTCTCATTCTGTCGCCCAGGCTGGAGTCAGGTAATCCTTCCACTTCAGCCTTCCAATTAGCTGGAACTACAGGCACATGCTATCATACCTGGCTAATTTTTCAATTTATTGTAGAGATGAGGTCTCACCAAGTTGTCCAGGTTGGCCTCGAACCCCTGGGCTCAGGGAATCCATTCACTTCGGCCTCCCAAAGTGCTGGAATTACAGGCTTGAGCCACTGTACCTGGCCTCTTTTGCCTATTCTTAATTCCTTTCCTCCTTTATCTTTCTTTTCTTCTATTTTGTAGTACTTGTTCCCTCCCATCTCTTTTCTTGTGTTTTTACTAAACCCAAAGATTTAAAAAGTGGAGTTCATCTATTTATTCTTTAGCTACATGTGACAACTCTGTTAGCATTACAATAAAGGCTTGAGTGTACAAAAGTAGAAAGAAGAAACTAATGTTTTTCAAGTACTGTACATATATAATCTCCTTTGGTCCTTTTCAACACTCCTTTGAAATAAGGGCTTTTCCATTTTGCAGATTAGAAAACTAAAGATGAGAGGCAAACTCTAAAGACATATTCTTTCCATCTGTCCATACTTTCTTTAACTTAATTTTGAAAGTAAAACACATACACAGGAAAATGCTAGAGACTAATTTCCAGCACACATCTAAATGCATAATACGGTTTTAGGAATCTGTACAAATATGGAGGATGCATAAAACACCCAGGAGGGATGACAGTGGAATTTGTTAGGAAAAGAATGATGGAAGGGAGTCTGATGTTGCCAGCGTTTTTGCAAAACCAACGTGGCTTTGGCCCCATTGTTTGGTATTAACTCAGTGTTCCAGAATTTTCTCAAGTGGCTCCTGGACCCACTGGAGACCAGAAAACTCAGGCAATGAACAGATATCCTGAGGAAGATGCTTCCAGTCCTATGTTTGTGACAACTTTTGAGTCTGGGGTTGGTCTGGAAGGCAAATTGTATGCCACCTAAGGAGAGAAGTTGGCAATCCCAGTATGTCCGGCAAGGTCAAGTGATTTGGTTAAATCATCTAGATACCTGGGTAAACTTTGTTTTGTTAGTAGACCTGGAAGTAGTCTGGCCACTGGGCATGCAGCTCAAACCTCAACACTCTCTAATTCCACCAGCCTTGACTGAACCACTGACGAGCTAGAGGCATGGCAAGGCACCACAGGGAATACACAAATCAGGCAGCCTTGGTTCCCATCACACAAGGCTGGAAATGGGCTGACAGCGCAAACTGGGGGAAAGAAGTCTTTACACAGTGAAGGTGGGCCTTGAGGAGAAGCGAAGGTATCACTCCACTTAACTATCAAGATCTTATATCCAGAGTTGGTGGAGATACTGTGTTTGATGGTTAGAGCTACCATTTGGCTTCCAACTCAAAGCAAAACCCAACAAATATATGTCTGGTCTCAGAGCACTGCTTACCTTCAGATGTTTCCAACACTCCTTTTGAGTCAGGTTCTCCGTCTTCTGGAATAATCTGGTGTTGCCCATTATTCTGAGCACCTTTGCCTTGGGACAGGTGGAATGGGGATTAGTGAACTTATCACTTGCAGAACCTACATCTGGATGTATAATAAACCACAAAGGGGACATACCTGTAGCTATTACCCATGGGTATTCTATTTCAGAGAAGTGT